GATCAGTTTTACCTCCATTCATCTGGGCTAACATCGCGACAATAGATTCGTACTTTTGGTTCATCTTACCCATTAATTGCTCCATTCTATCTTGCTTGGTACTCACTACTTTCAGCATCTGGTTTGAGGATTTAAGGGCTAACCCCAGATTAGGGACCCCTTTGTCCAGACACTTCAGATGATCCTCATTCGACTTATTCGAGTCTCAGCTATCCCAATTCACGTAGCTGCTCTGATACCAAATGTAATGGTGGACTCAGCTTCGACCAAACCAAGTAAAATATAATTCCAATCAACACAATAAAACAGTCAAATCAGATGATATCAACAACCCAAGCTGGAAATCTATTAGTTGAACTGAACTTTACAGAAAGAACGACAACGACAAAACATAGAAGGGAAAGAGAGAAGAATAGAATCTTGAAAGGGAAAGAGAGAAAGTTTACACTGTTCCTGATCTTTTTCGCGCTCTTATTTCTCCTCTCCCCCATCAATTATAAGCAAAATAGAAGGAATGAACGCATTTATGAAAATGCAATGTATAAAATGCATTTCTATTACATTCATTACTATTGACTCAAAATGGCACCGTTTCCTTTATTCAAAGCGATGCCACTTGATTTCAAAAATCGGTGGTTGCTTGTCTACTTCCTGGTGTTTCTCATACCTTTGTTTCCCCACTTCAGCTGACTTGCTTCTTTATAACACAGTGTTCCTAGAAGGGACAAGTTATAAACCCCAAGCCCACTATTTTTTCTACCAATTCCTCGTGCTTTTTTATCTGTTCTGCTTTCCTTAACTGCTCCAAAACCATTTTACGAGTTGGCACACTCGGTCTCAATCTCTTCTCCTCAACCATGTCTTTTAGATAAGTGTGTGCATTGTTCTAGAGGCCCATTTTGCAGTACACTGAAATCAGAATTCGGATAGTATTCACATTAGGCTCAACTTCACTCTCGTCTATTTCTTTTTTAATTTTAATAACCATATTAGTTGATTAAGACTCAGCAAACATTCGCAGCAATATATTGCCTCATCTCGATTCTTGCCCCTGCAATTGACTATCAATCGAAAAATTATACATGGTCACATCCGGCTTCTATTAAAAGCATGTATGGCCTCCTCATCCAGCCCAGCACGAGCATAACACTGAATCAAAATCGAGAAAGTATTAATTGGGATTTCTATATTTTTTGACTTCATTAAATCAATCAAGTGCCAGGAGACATTAAATTGACGCACTTTTCCAGAAAGGTTGATCATTTTGTTGTAGATGTCCACCAATAACGGTGAAATTTCAGACAATTCCGAAGAGGACGTAGCCCAATTGAAGAAAGCGAGTTCATAAATAAAGGGAATGTCGTGGCGGAGCATTCTGAATTACACAGCGGATTAACGGGACAGAGAATTGACAACGAAGATTTTGGGGAACTCGTGAGAAGTAGGTAGGGAATGTTACAATAGGGTTTAAAGGGCTAGTGCAAGGTTTAAAGGGGTTAGTGTTTTTCCGATAGTGGTCTTTAATTATGGAGTAGAATTTGTCGGCGATTAAAATTTCCTCCGAGGAGGACGATGTCGGTTTCTTCGACGTCGTTTTGAAGGTGGAGTGTATCTGAGGAGGTAGAAAAGGGCTTTAGATTGCGTTTGGAGAGAGGGAAAATTACACAACCATTAATACCCTAAAATTGAGAAAAAAGGATTATAAATACAACAAGTACTTCAAAAGGGATTTCACATATTGAGAGATAGATAACACAATTTGAAAATTAGAGAGCAAATTTAAGAGTAGAAAAACAATAATTCAAGAGTTTGAAATCATAGTTTGGAACGATAATAGGAACTTGGTGTTCATCATCTTTTATACATCCCAATTAAAAACTCAGTGATGTATTTAATACAATTCTTTAGTTTTTCTTCCATTATCATGAGCAACTAAATTCATATTAGAGTAAACAATATAATCTTTTGACACTCTTTGTTTCTTTTATTCAAGATTCAAGTGTTTCAAAAGCATGTGTAGATTTTAATTATGTACTTAAAGCTTTGAATTCTTTAGCCAATTATTCAATTATTTCATGAATCTATTATGAATCAAGAGGTGAGTTTTAGTTTTAGCCACATATTAAAATATAGTAAATTAGTATAACGTGTAGAGATACATATATTAATTACTTTGGTCTTAAATGAATTCTTAGAAATAATATTTCGTTTAACTAGACATGGTTTACGAAATTTAATTAGTTAAATATGTTCAATGAGAACTAGAGAGTGTAAATTGAATACAACGAAAGAATTCGATCAAACGCTACATTAGATGTGAATTTTGAATTAAGATTAAAGGTGATCATAAATGATATTGTTTTGCTCTAATATCCATCTCATATTTGAATCCTATTTTTTGTGCAATTTTGATATTTTGAAGCATTAACAACAACAAAACAACAATCACAGCAATTTTTTTACTTTTGTCAAATAGTAATTAAAAATATTAAATTAGGCATTAAAGTATAGTTCTCATGGGAACGATAAGAATTCAATCAAACATTATATTATATAGCTTGTTACGATCCGTACACTTGCAAATATAATAATCGCATTTCATAACTAATAATTTTACGAAATACTTTCATAAATCAGGTAATAATTCAATATATTAATATATTATTATATAGTTAATAGAAACCAAAAATAAGATAAATTATCTTGTTTAAAATTAGATCCTAAAAGACAGTATTATTCCATGTTTAAAAAATATTTTCTAACTCCCATTCTCACAATCAAACACTATTTCTTTCTCTACGTACCCAATTTCCAAAAGCTCTCCAAAATTGTTGCAATTTCTCCATTGTAGGGAGTCAATGATATGCACTGGCGAACCTACATTTGGTCACGTGACCCACCAATTAAATGGATTTTTTTTGTATAAAATCAAAATGGAGTAATGAAAAAACCCTCACAGCTTCCAATTGAAAGAATCCCAAACCATCCCAACTCCAAAAACCCAAATTCCAATCCAACCCAATCCATATTGAAATTCAATGAAAGAAACCGTTCCACTCCTAATTCAGTCCCAACTCCTGGCTTGACGGCTTCCAATTCCAAACTTTGAAGCGAAATCCAGCAATTTGATACACCCTGTCGATCGTTCTTAACTCGATTCTCTCGCCGGCGATTCAACCACCTCAAACAGTAAAACAAGACAACAATATCATACCCCACTAACTTCAAATGTTTGAGTCCGCCACTAATGATATGATATTCTTTTAAATTGAGAATCTTGAAATGAAGTTAAAATTTATCAAGCATAACTTTTATATTGAGAATCTTGAAATCAATATGAAGCATGATTGTTGCATGAGGTTGAAAGCTCTAATTTGCTACAATGGCTATAATGCTTGATTCAATACAGTGTGTAAATTTTGTGTTGGGTTGTTGGGGTGGGTGGTACTATGTGGTGGGAAAGGGGACCAAAATCGTATGTGAGGATTTGAGGGGATAAAATGGTTATTAGAGTGTGGAATTTTTGGGTTAAAAATTGAAAAAGATTATACCATCTCGCTGATTAACAAAACCAATTAGTCCTTCTCCCATGTTGTTATGGGTTTTAGTTCAAGAGTGGGTTGAGGTGTATTGTTGATGAAGGAGGTGGTGGAGGTGTTTCATTTAGAGAGAGAAACTAATACGGAAAATATTTACTACTTGTTAATGATGGAATGTAGTTGGTTTGATGAAGTATTGGCAATTTATCATATTGATTGTATTTTGTATTATATGTGTCCAGATTATGATTGTTAACAATGACTATTTCTGACTGATCTATGTAAACTGTTATTATTTGTAACTCATTGTGTTCAAGTCTATCTTTATTGTAACACTATGTGATTAGATTTATCTTAATTGTGATTATTTGTGATCAAGTCTCTATTAATAGTGACATTTATAACTACATCTGTTAACAATGATGTTTGTGTCAAAATATGTTTATATTGAAATGTTTGTGAGTATTTATATATTAACAGTGACGATGTGTGATCAAGTCTACATTAACAGTGACCAATTGTTACCAATAATAAAGTTCAGATACCTGGTGGTTTGGTTTTACATACATACTTCCTTTGAACTCCCAGAAAAAGATACGATGTGGGATTGGATGCCTACTAGTTTTATTCCCTTCCTTTTAATTTTCATTTGATTTTGGTTCCCAAATAAAGTAAAATTATAATGCTCACCTCAGTTTTTTTTTTTTTTAAATAAAATTTTTAATTTAATTTAAATTTACTTCATTATTAACATAACAATGTTGGACATCATTTTCTATAAACTCTTAACGATTTTGATTTTAAAAAAGCAAATTATTTTAATATATTAATAGTTTATTTTTGAAGCGTCGAGACTATAATAATAAATCTAATTAACAAAAATAAATTTGTATTTACTTTGAATCCGATTTGACCATTTGACCTTGACCCTTTATCTTTTTCTGGTCGATGTCCGGATCGATTTTTAAAACATTTATTTTTAGGATAAATTGCAGAAAATCCCCTTAGAAACGTTTTCATGTGCGATATACCCTTACTTATTGGAAATCGCTAAAAACCCTCATATTTGAAATATTTTGTGTGAAAATACAACCTTTTTTGTGCGAAAAATCCTTACTGTCTAATTTCAGTAGTTTAACTGTTAAAAATTGTCAAAATTAAAAAGGAATAATTACAGCAGTGGTCCAATTTTTATTTTTTATTTTTTTTATTTTGGCAAATTATACCAAAACCTTTTATTTGTACTATCCACAGTCCAAAACCCTTAAAACGTTATCTTCTTACCTATCCTTACCCACACACACGATCCCAAATAATTTCCCCAAAATTTTCAATTCCATCCATCTGTCTTTTCCTCTTATTTTCTTCTTCTCCAAATCTTACAATTGCCACTCCAACAATTTCTACTTTGGGATGAGGTTAGCTGGAATTGGAAAAGAAAGGGATGAGGAAGGTCGTAGAAAAGCCAACAGTAGAAGAAGAAAATGCAACTATAGAATCTTTATGAAACTTTAGAACTTGAAAATCTAATTACTTTTATTGTCATGATCCTCCATGTCAAATCACCAAGAAAATTAATAATGTCGTACATACCTTAAATCTTTGAGAATAATTCTTTATTATTGGATCTTGATTCCGAATCTTGAATCTTGAAAATTAACCTGAAATCCCTTCTTGATTGGTTTCTTGCTTTCAATTTTGAATTTTGCTTCATTGGATTCTTTGATTCTTGTTCTTGATTTTGCTTCTTGAATTCCTTCATCTTGATTCTTGATTGTAACTATTGGGTCTGCTCTTCAATATGCTTTCTCTTGTATTCTTTTGTTGATGGGATGACACTAAAAATAAGAAATTGCATATGAATTGGGAATCATAATCCTGTAAATATTTTTCATATGTATTTCGTCCATCATGAAATACAATTCTAAAGGAATATAATCTCTACACATATAATTTGGCCCACACTTTATTTAGATACTTTAAGCTAATTTCTTAATTTTTTATTAGAATCCTTAACCTTAAAACCATATCTACCTCCCCCAACAAACTCTATATCCTCAAGAAATTGGACATTTACCATTTTGAAAATTAACCTAATAGTGGAATTTTTAAAATTTGTAACTCCTTAACAATTGTTTTACTTGAAATTTTATTGAGAATTTAAGTTGCAATCTTTAGTACTTCAACCTAGAGAGATTCTGGTGTAGCGTTGGGCGATTCCACATTCTTCTAAGAATTTCGCAAAAGGCCCTGAATGTTGTTCTCCTGATTCATCATACCCATCATAGTATTCATCATCACGACCAGATCTGACGTATTTTATTCTTTCGTTAAGTTGATTTTCAACCTCGGCCTTAATTGCCTTGAGAGGAGTCAGAGAATTACTTGCATACGAACCGGCCTGGTCGAGATATTGAAATGCCTTGCACAAATTCGCTCGAACGGATGCCTATGCTTGGTTGCAATAATAGTACTCTGCTGTCCAATGCTGGTCAACATCAGCCTGGAAGCAGAAATAAATGTTATCTATAACTTGTGTCAAATTAGAACGAACAATCTCATGAAATTTTAACTTATTCAAGATCATTGACCATCTAAAGATAATTCAAGCAAGAAAATACTTATGAGAAAGGGTGTAAATTGAGACTTGGAAACGTATTAAGTCTCTCAACACAGTCCTCTCAACACAGTCACAAATTCATATTACGCCATTCAGGTAACAAGATCATAGGCAATGTGCAAACTAGTGTGCACGAAACCATATTTATTCATGCAGAAACTCAGTGAATTTTGCCACAATTCTGCTCCTAGATAACCACATTATGTGATAATAAAAATATTAACGCCTTTATCAGAAGTGAAATACACAGGAGAAAACTTTAATTGAATTTGCAAGGTGGACAAAAACGAGAATAACTCCCAAAGAGAGACTTAACCTGAGATGGTGAAATTAAAATTTTAACAGAAAGGAACAAACATCAACAACTTAAAGCTAGGAAAGCCCAAATATATAGGGATAACTTACAAATCAATTGATAATTCGAAGCCAGATGTTCTGGAATCAAGAAGTCCTTGGTAACAAGCTCAACAGATAGAGTGGACTCTGTTCATCGGCAAAGAAACTTCAAATGAATTTTCTGGATGGACATTAACTTGAAAAGTTTGGTGAATTTAAAATTTTAACAAAAAAGAAACAGTTATCAACAAATTAAAACTAGGAAAGCTCAAATATTATGGGATATCTTACAAACCATTTAAAGATTCAAAGAGAGATGTTCTGGGATCAGACGTCCTTGATAACAAGCTCAACAGAGAGTCTCAGTTCATCAGGCAAAGAAGCTTCAAGTAAAAAGGGGTACTACAATCCAAGCACCAGATGTACTAGGTGCTCCTGAAATCACCAATAATCCCCACAAGAGCATTCACCATCTTTGAAGTGGTGAAAGCGATTTGTGTCTCTGACATAAATTTCTCTCTTTTCAAATGTAGCTATAAATTTTATAACAGCATGGCAGTCTCCACAAATTCTAAGATTCTTTATAACTCTGAGAGGAGACCCTGCGTTGGTGTTTAAAATTCCAAAAACTACAGCCAACTTCTCACTGTGTCCACATAAGATATGTTCTTTCTCTTGTTCCTCCACGTCTTGCAGCACAAAACCGGTATGTGGCAAATAACCTGATTTCTTCATTTCCATGCTCAGTTCATTTAACTTGTTCATAATTTGGGCCATTTGAGGAAGTGATTTATCCCCTGCTAAAAGCATGTGCACCTTGTATTTGACCTCAATCCAACTGCAGCCAGGGTTCTTCCTCAGCCCCTTGCCTCTCATAATATTCCTAACTTTATCCATTTCATTCCACTTCCCTTTAGAAGCATAAATATTGGATAATAGAATGTAATTCCCAGGATTATGTGGTTCTAATTCAAATAATTTCTTGGCAGCAACCTCCCCCAAACTCAAATTGTGGTGAACTCTACAAGAACTCAATAAAGCACCCCAGACACAAGCATCAGGCTCAAATGACATTTTCCTGATTATAGAATAAGCCTCTTCAAGCTTTCCAGCACGTCCAAGAAGGCTTACAATGCAAGCATAATGCTCCACTCTAGCTTCGATACCATAATCCCTAGACATGCTTTCAAAGTAACGATGCCCTTCATCTGTAAGGCCACTTTGGCTACATGCAGATAAGAGGCTAGTGAAACTAACAATGTCAGGTTTCTGCCCACTCTGCTGCATCTGGTGAAAGATTTGAATAGCTTCCTTCGCCATTCCATGCATTGCATATCCACCCATCATTGCGTTCCAAGAAACCACATTGCGCACAGGCATCCTATCAAAACAGCACCGAGCTATTTGTATCTGTCCACAATTGGCATACATGTCAATCATCGCGCTGCCCACATACACATCATCAAAAAACTCCCTTCTGAGAGAGAAGCAGTGTGCAGCCTTCCCATGTGTTAATGCTGCTACATTGCCACAAGCGGGTAGCACACAAGGAATGGTTACAGAATTTGGTTTTACCCCTGCCACCTGCATTGATCTGAAAAGCTCCAAAGCCTCAATATCTTTACCATGCTGTGAGCAACAAGCAATCATGGAAGTCCATGAAACGACATTCAGTTCCATCCTCTGGCCCTGAAATTCTTTAAATATGTTCAATGCCTTATCAACGAGACCATTTCGTGAAAGCCCAGAAATCAATGCATTGCAAGCACCCAAATCCACTAGATCCATTTCTTCGAACACTTGTGAGATCTCTGGAGCACATTCGCACTTGCTGTACATATCAATAAGTGCGCTAACAATACACTTATCCACTCCAAACCCCATCTTGATCAGATGCCCATGAACCTGAATGCCTATATATAAATCCCTCAAGTCACCTATTGCAGGAAGAACACTAGAGATACTAGTGCCATCAGACTTAAAACCGCGTAAGTGCATCTCATGAAACATGAGAACTGCATCCACGAAACAGCCGCTCTGATTAAAACCCGCAATCATACCATTCCACGACACTGAATTCGGCTCAAATCCCAGTTTCTTCCCCTCCTCGAACACTTTTTTCGCACTAACAACATCCCCTTTTCTTGCATACCCAGCAGCCAACGCACTCCAAGAAACCATATCCCTCTCAACCATGTTATCAAACACTTTATGAGCATCAACAAGTTCATTGCACTTCACATAAAAATGTATAAGAGATGACTCGACAAAAGAATCTAAAGTAAGTCCACATGTCAAACCAAACCCATGAACTTGTTTCCCTATTTCAAGAACCGACAATCCAGAACAAGCCTTAATAACACTGGGCAAAATATGGGCATCAGGAAAAAGCCCATCACAAAACATTTCAGAAAACAATTTCAACGTCCGCTTAAATTCATTGAATTTCGTATAAGCATAAATAAGAGTACTGAAAGCGAAGAGATCGGGTCCTGAAAATGAATTGAGTAGACTTTCTGCGTCGGAAAAGCATTGGTGATTGGCGTAGAGTGAGAGAAGCTTAGTGGTGTGACGAGGGACACTGGAAATGCCTGTTTTGAGGAGATGGGCGTGGGCTTGATGCGCTTGGGAGAGTGATGCCGTGGTGGTTTTGTTCAATATATGCAACAGCTTTTCAGCTTGCCTTGGCACGGGCATGGCAGCTATTTTGCCTATGTGGTCAACTGTCCAAGGTTTTGCAGCATTTATTGTTTGGCATATAAAATTTTTGTCGGGAATTGGTTCTAGTTTTTTGACTTGGTGTTGTCTAGTTAAAAATTAAATTTTTAGTAAGGATTCATTTGATTGTAAAAGTGAAATTTGAATGAAAAGAAAATTAATTTAATGAATTGAATTGTTTAAAACTTGTTTTGTTGAGAATTATCAATCAAATGCGTTTGATTGGTATAATTTTTCACTTGAAAAACGTTGAAATTTTTGATATTTTGTTGTTCGTTTGAGTTTGCTTTTCGTGAAAATTGTCAATTAAAGGGATAGAATTTGTTTACATTACCAAAAGAAATTTAAAAAACAAAAAAAAAAACCTAGAAATTAATTTCCCACCCAAACAATGGGAATTAAAATTCCACCAAATCAAGGAAAAAGGGGTCACAGATCAATTGCCAAGAAAATTATACTAATCAAATGAGGAAAAATGTGGAAAATGAAAATGAAAAATTTGTTGTATCAAACAGGGCCTAAATTTTTTATAAAAGTTGATTAAATATTTGGTTGAAAATTTGATTAAAAAAAAATACAAATTTCATAAAATGTATGATTAAAAACGAGTTTAAGAGAAAATGAAGATCAAGCGGGAGTTTTGTTATCACTGAAAAATTCATTTTCAATTCCAAATATGTAGTAAATAGCCACGTGATTGTCATAAAACATAACTTGCTACATATTTCTATATAATTAACCTAGTTATAAGATGAAAAGGACTATTTTAATTTTATAGAGTTGAATATGCATTGACAAATAAGGGTCACATTATTTATTTTTATAAGGAATTTCGAATTTTGGACAATTTTCATCAATGGTAACAAATTGCGACTACAATAAAAGGTTAAAAATTAAATTGCTTGTTATCAATTGTTGGACACCAACTTACCTATTAGAAATCAATTGTTCATTTTTCTCTTTTATATTATTTATCGAGTTCGTCGAGGTAACTTACTTCTTCGACACAAAATGTCTGTATCGTTAGAAATAGCCTTGTGAGAATTTAAAGTGACTCCTTAACACTAACAATAATTTCTGCATAGAACAATGACGAATAGATAAAAACTAAATTGCTTTAATTCTTATAATAGAAATAGCATTGAATTTAATGAAAGTGAGAAAAAATTATTTTGACAACGAAATCATATTTATTGAGTAGAAAATATGGTTTGCATTATTGTGAAATAGTCTTCCAATCAAATAATATTTTTTTCGGATTTAAAACTTCGTTGGTCTTGTCCAAAAAATTTATTGGTCACAAACTTTTAAAATGTGCCACTTCAATCACTGAACTTTCAAAGTTGTGTGAAGTGAGTCATTCGTCTCATATCTAATCATCGCTTTAACATATTTGGTAATGTATAACGTTGGATCGAAAGATTTGTGTGACAAACAGATATGACAACATGGCCAAAATCCTTGTCTGGGCTTTACCGGAGGCTGGAACTCCCGGTTGTTGGAACTGGCAGCGTACCATAGCAAACATATGTAGACCATGAACACTGCGCTCATGCCGACGCATGGTAGAAATAGTGCAAGAAACACTGAAACTAGCATGTTTTTATTTTCTCTCTCTACAAGGGTATTCAATTCAAGAAAGAGAAAAGGGCTGTAAAATTAGGGTGGCTGGAGTGTGATGCACACCATGGTTCAGTTTCACGGATGAGTCTCGTGTCGAAAATGGAGGGGTTTATATATATATATATGGACTGGTGCCGTGGTGGGGAAGGGTTTAAGCAAGGCGTCGTTTGGTTGCATGCAATGAATGAGGGCAGGTTGGGTAGGGTAGCTGGAGTAGGGAAGGGAAATATTTAACCATAGAGCTCACCCCACTTATAATCTTATTTCATGTTAGTCATCAAACTTCGTTTTCTTTCAAAATCCCCTAACATAAAATGAACGGCTCGTTTTGTGTGTGCAATAAAATATTCAAATCTTATGATAGTGATTCCAAATAACGATTCCAATTGTTGTACTTTCCTTAATCACCATTGCATAGGCATTGAAAAAAGTCAATGTTTTGAAAATCGATTCGAGTAACGATAAAAAAAGAAAGGATCAACTGTCGACTAAAATCGAATTGGTAGGATCTTTGGCGGAGATTAAAATTAAATTTTTTTAATAGATTGTAATAGAAATTTTTGAAATATGTGGTTGAAAAATTGTGAAATTCATGAAAAATGTAGTTAATATTGAGCCCCCGTTTGACTCTCATTATCTTAAATTTCATTACATTTCATTTTTTTCATCTATTTTCAACCATACGATCTTCCACAAAATAATATTATACGTAAATAGAAAACTTCTCCCATTTTTCCAATCACTTATTTTTCAAAAAAAAATAAAATTCCACCCATTTTCACTTTCAAAAAATAGGGGCCAAACGAGGACTGATTGTTTGACTTTTAAATTAAAATCAGATTTTAATCTAAGTCAAACAATCGCTTAATATCTCAACCAGTTTTGCTCAATTTACTAACACATAAATGAAGAGTGACTTCAATTATGAAAGTTTATTGACCGTCGCCTTCTTATTAAAAAAAGTTCATCACTAAAGTGACACATATTATAAAAATTGTTGACCAACCAAGTATTCAACCTCCAATGGTCAACTTGCACATGAAAAACTCACCTAACGTAACTACATTTACAAGTTGGAAACAGCCATCAGCAAATTGGAAATAGCAGCCACAGATTCACGACATTCTATGCTTTTCCGATCGATCATCCAACAATTGGAGAAATTTAATTCAAGGCATCCAATTTGTAAGTTTGTTTCGTGATGATTATCCAAAACTGTTAACAAAACTAACGAAGTTCGGAATATGGTCAACGGGATATGTCAATTTGGTCAACAAAATTTGTTACTCGACTTCTAATTATTGGGTGATAAAAGAACAAATTTTACATTTTATGTTCTAGTCTTCCACGGTCGTGATTATTGGTTAGCTAAGTCAAGAATTTTATTGGTTGTAAATGAAATGAAAAATATAAATCGAGTGATACGAATCAAATTTACAAGCTGGGTGATCAGATTGAAATAATCAAAAGTTTAGAGACTAACATTAAAATAATCTATAACTTGGATGACTTCTAGTGAAATACTTCTTTAAAAGAATTGTCAAATATACATGCCAGCAATTTTTTTCTTCAAAGAAAATTCATTAATGAAATTTCACTTTACAAACATTAATGTTTTGGCTCCTCAAATTGAAATTCCACGAAATATATTAAAAGGAACATTTAAAGAAAATTAAATAACAATCTAAGTGCACATTTTAATAATTAAAAACTTGCCTAATAAGGTTTGCCCTATAAAATACAATTCATCTAATTAATTACCTATGATCAGATCTTACTTTTTAACTACACATTTAATCATTTTTCATCAAAATCTATTAAAATTTTTAATTTTTAGCTACACCAATTAAGGGCAAATACTATTTTCACTTCGAGTTTTGGCAAGAGGTATACAAGTATCGAACTTCTATAAAATCACTCGTTCTAAGACTATTTTAAGTCTTGATTGAAAGAGATGTTTTAACAATTTTTTTTTTTTTTCAAATCTTTTTAATCACACATTTTGTATATCCATAAATGTTCTTACTTTTAAATCAAACATTTTCCAAAAAAAAAAAAAAAAAAAACCATTAACTAAGTAGTTAGTGAAACCACCCTATCGGCCTCCTTAATTTTCTTCTAAGCAATCTTCAACATGAGCTGTGCCTTAAATATCGATCTTGACCTACAAAAAAAAGGAGATAAAGATAGATACTGCATTTTAGACATTTGTACCAATTATAATCGAGAAGAAAAGCAAAGAAAATAACTATATCAAATAACTCCAATAAACACAAACTAATTTTTAATAAACTTCTTTTTACTCCTTTTTTCTAATTTTTTAATTATTTATTTTTAGGCAGGGGGTGAAGATTGGTTTAAATGCCCATGGATAAATTATGATTATTAGGAACTCATTATGAAGAAACTCATTATTAGGAACTCATGCTTAAATGCCCATGCCCATGGATCCAAGTAATGACCAGCATTTAACGAGAGAACAAGTTTCATTGATAAGAAAATAACACTGATTGAATTTGACTTCTCACCTTTGATATAAGCTACTTAATGGCGTGGAGAGATTTTTGGCGGTTTATTTGTGCAGTTATGTCTAAAATGGCGTGGAGAATATAACTTAGAAGAGACTTTGGATGGGAGAATGGTTTGAAATGAAAAGCATAAATAATTCTATTGTAAAATGACATCCATAGATATAAGTCAATGAGAATACATGCTCCAATAGATTTTCTAACAAATCATTTTTTTGGGGGGCAAAAAGAATTTTGAGCCCTGCCAAGAGTTTTATTGAACATTATTTATGAAATCAAAAGTAGTGGACAAAATTCATTTTTGCCTCCAAAAGTGTCTTGTGGGAAAATTTCTTCAATTTAAAATTACACTGTGCTTCCTCCCTTCCCTTGTATTGTAAACCTACCAATGGGAGTGCTAGAATTATTCAAAATACTAAGGGTCCGTTTGATATGTGATTTTTTTTCCATGGAAAATTTCATTTTCCAAGTTTATGGTGTTTGATAGGGTTTTATTTTCATAGAATTACATTTTTTTGCTTGTCTTGGGAATTGATCTTTTTTTTATTTTTAAGGAAAACCAATTCTCACCAAAATGGTGATAATTGGAATTCCATGTTACTGTAGCATTTTGTTTTTTGTTTTGTTTTGTTTTTTGTTTTTTTTTTTCGTTTTGTGTGTGCAATAAAATATTCAAATCTTATGATAGTGATTCCAAATAACGATTCCAATTGTTGTACTTTCCTTAATCACCATTGCATAGGCATTGAAAAAAGTCAATGTTTTGAAAATCGATTCGAGTAACGATAAAAAAAGAAAGGATCAACTGTCGACTAAAATCGAATTGGTAGTAAAAATTAAAGATATAAACAAAAATAAAAATAAAA